TACAATTGAGAAGAAAAGAACACCTCGCCATTGCTCAAACATGGCCCCCTGATGGCTGTCTTCTTGTGTGATGCTTATGAGTCCTCAATCAGTTTATCATTTGTTTGTTAACCATACAGAGGTGCCTACTCTGTCATGGTGGTGATTACACCCCTGCTACCAAAAGTCTATTTAGACATTCACCATATCGGCAACCATTGGGGAAATAGCCAATGATGGATCTGATTATGTAGTCCATACTGAATGAGGCATTACTGGCTTATAAACAGCAATGAAGCCCACTTAGTCATGCTGATGATGGCCCTGTCTCAACAGGAAACTGGTAATCAGTGAAACGGACCTTGATTAAAAATAATTACGATGCCTCTAGGGGGCCCTGTGCGATCTAGAGTGCACAATATGCCACTCTTAATTTACATTTTTGATTTGAGATATTATCTGAGGGGCGCTTTTCCCCCTTTCGTCCCCCCTAGCTATCCATCTAATTCATTTTTGCTGGTATTAAAATGTGTTGCTCATTTGCTGGTGCTTGGAAATATTGCAGTGGAATCACTAGTCATCATGTGCTCTGTGGCCTGAGACCATATTGGCAGCTATGCATTAAATTGCTAATGTGCCTGGAAGAACTACATTACCGGCCCCATCAAAGTGACAAGGGCAAAGATAAAGCACTTCGCTCGACTGCCCCTGAGATCATTGGAAAATGGGTTTCGTGAATATGGCTTGGCAGAGCGCAAAGTTGTCTTTTACAATGCTTTCTTTGAATTGGTTGTGGTTCTGCTTCGCTGGTTTGACAGCTGCAGAACAATGAGGCAAAAGTATTCGACCAGCTCCACCTGCATTCAGAGTAGGGGTGTTGAAAATAATCGTTTCTACGATGCATTGCGATGCGGACGTGGACGATTCGGTATCGATGCAGTGACGGAAGATAATCGGTTATAGCGTAGTAACGTTGCTTCCTGATTTTCCGGCCGCGGCTTTACTATAACGTTTTTTTTTTCTGTCACTTTAATATCAAATCGGTCGGTGACGCAGAGATCAGGGAACAGACGTGACAGCAACACCAAACACGGAGCAGTCTTGCTTTATCCATCAACACAACACCACCAGTCCAGAACCAACAGCAGAAGGACCCGCTCTGGATCACTCCGTGTCGCTGCGGCTCAGGGATTTATGTTTTTCAAAAATAATCGCGTTACAATCATGTCAGGTTTTTGGTGGATTTAATTAAGTCTTGGATTGCAAAGTATGAATGTCCTCTAGCAATTTTCAGACGATATATACGTGTGTAAAGTTTGTGAAGGCAGGAGGAAAAAAGCTTCCGCGATCACCGTCTCCTCCGTTCCTCCAAACCCCGCCCTGAAAATAATGAGTGACAGGCTGATAGTGACCCGATAGAAACTTTATTATTCACTTAATCACTGAGATATAATGAAGCTAATTTAATCTCATACATTCATGGGATTTATGTAACAGTAAGACAGAGAATGTAAGTGTGCACCCACATGCAGTATTTTAGTTGTTATATGCTGTTGTAAATACTCCTGTTGTCTGCTGTGTTCAGACTCAAGTCCTGTGTGTGATGCCACATTCAGGACATTCAGTGTCCTTTCTTTAACAGAAGACCGTTACTAGAAGCTGCAGCTAGACTGCAGAAGCATTCTTTTTTTGTTTTTGAGGATGGAACAACTTCACACACAGATATAGGGAGGCTAGACCTATACAATTCATTTATTTTGGTTTATAAATGAATGTCAAGACATTTGTTATTGATTTCTGAAGCACTTTCTAAATAATAAAAAGAGTTCATATGTATTTACTGCATGTATGCATTGATGAAAAATAAGCCATGTGCAGTAATATAGAAAATTGAGGATGCAACCCATTGGTATGAATCGTGATATCGAATTGAATCGAATCGTTGACAGGATAATCGTAATCGAATCGTGAGACCAGTGAAGATGCACAGCCCTAATTCTAAGCGGTGTGTGTGGTAAAAACGTCACACACCGCTGGCTCTGCACATTTGTAACATTATGTTTCTCAAGACCGATACCGATAACCGATAATAAAAAAATGTTTACGCCACTAATTATTTTAACGCGATTAACGCATGTGTATTTATTTTCCTTGGCCGCCCCGTAGTTTCAGAGCGCATCGAGTTTAAAATACCATCTACAAGCTGATGCTGACAGCCCCGCTCCTGCCGCCCGCTTGTGGCAGACCACACTTCCACGCTCACCGGCAGGCACCGACTGGCTGTTGGGAGGACCGGGAGGGTGTGTGTATGTGTGGCCCGAGCGAGCGAGAGAGAGACCTTACGTGCATTGTTGTTGTTAGCATCTGGTGCTAGCTAGCTGCGCTAACGGATATAAGGAGCTGTTTAAATGAAAACAGAGGAGCGACATTTTGCCACAACTGCGCCGAGCACTTGACTTTATGCAGGCAGCCAGACAGTGGGACATTGTACGAAAAGTCAGCACACTCAGCACGGATAGTGCATGATTGCAGCGTCCAGGCAGCTCCGGTTCGAGCTTGAGTTGCACATAGCTCCAACGCCCATACCACCGACGACATGTTTGTTTACTGTCCTGGCTTCACGGCCGCACACCATTTACGTCACAGCCAGGCATGAGTTAGGGAGCGCTGGATTTGTGAAGAACTCCCCTCTTCCTAAACCACTAATACCACAGTACTGGCAAAACGGGAGGAGCCGAGTGAAAAACAAGCGCCCCTCATCCCAATCCACCCACACCGCAGTATTTTTTCTTTTTTTTACCCAAAAAATATATTGTATATTATCGGGGCTATTAATACTGGTATCGGGTTTATCGGGATGACGTCATAATTCCTAATATCGGACCGATAATTATCGTGCATCCCTAGTTTCTTTGCAAACCCTTGTATTTACGAAAATAGTCTCACAGAATGGAAGAACGGTATATGGCCAGACCACACGCTGATTTTAAAGAACAGTGTTGTTGGCCACTGCAGATTGTATGTATGTATTGCATGCAGTAAAATAAGCCTTGGTGGATGGAAGTACTAAGCTCAGATGGAAAAGATTGAATGAATAAGAATACAACAACTGAGATACAACTTAGTTGAGTGTATTCTCTTCTGTGTGACTCTCAGATGGAAAATAATGTTTGTTTGTCATAGGCTGTGTTGTTACCAAGTTCAGGGCCCTTGTCCTAAGGTCTAATAATTTGATTCAAGGGATAGACAATATTGCACATCTAATTTACAATCATGTTGCTCCCATTGAGTAACTGCTTTTATAAAGACATTGAACAATCTCTCTATTGAAAGATTGCTTTATATTCCTTGACAATCTATAGAGAACATCATCTCATTGAATTGTGTGGGTTTTCAGGTCAAGCGATCATTTCTGTTGAACTTGACTGCTTCAGAATTCAAAACACTTTTTGACATGTATGTCAGACACACAGTTGTTGGGTTGTTTACAGCGGAGTCAGTTATTGTAAAAGTTGGATCTTTTAGGATGCATGGTGCTCAAGTTGAACACAAGACACACGGTTTCAGCATTTGGTGTTAAAATGACTAATGTCTTGCAACTGCACGCTCATTCTGGAAACAAGGGCTGACATGGGGGGGGGGCTCTGCATGGGGGAGGGGGGCTCTGGCTTCAGGTGCGATGTGAAGGAAGGTAGAGCTCCGTGCACCGTGTGATGATTAATGAGTCGCACCTCACGCCAGCACACGGTCTGTTCATGAGAGTAGTGGTACACACTCCAGCAGCTTTGCAACAACTCTGCTGTTGCATCTCCCTAGCACAGAGACACACACAAACGCACACACACACTACTGCCCACTGAATCTCAAGCTGTTGAGAAGATGGAAGTGAACTGAAATGCTGTTGATTTGACCAATTTATTGTATTTACTATTTCATGTGCATGATAAAGAAATGTGGTACTTGATTTTGATTGTCTTCTTGTGCACTTTGATACAGATCCACATAGTAATCTATACAAATATTTACACATTACATGTTGCTTGAAATGTGCAAATGTTATACACAATTGTACATTTGGGTTACTATATGTATGATTTTAAGATGTATGTGAATGTGAGCAATTGAATAGAATTTTCAGTTCCTCACTGCAACCTTTCTATCTTTCTTCACTATAGATATTTTTTCTTTTAATAGAGTCCTAATAAAAGAACCTCTCTCGTGTGTAAAAGAGCTGATTAGCCTGCTAGATGATCGCCTGTCCTCTCTGCTATACGTCTGACATCACCAGAACAGCTAATTGTCCGTTAGCAAACTGCTCTGCCTTGCTATAGGGTCTATATGCATGAGGTGTCTTACATGAGGTATATGGCCCTCTGAACATATTGGGAAGCAACCTACATTAATGAGCTGTGCAGCGAGGAAGGTGTGCAGAGCACTGGCAGCAGTCTTCTTTATGGTGTCAGCTCTTCGGCAGCTTGACAGTGTTCCAACCCTCTCGGATCACCACAGCTACAGTGTGAATCCTGGCATGTTTGCTGGGATATTCCCTATATTTATTTTCACAGGCTCTTTTTTCTCTCTCCTTATTTCTTTGTTCCAACCCTATTCCAAATGTACGCCTTTGTCACTTCAGCACATGGCAAGGGTTACGGTTAGAAATGATCCGTGCAATAAGCAGGCTTTTGTTCAGAAAAATGCCACAGTATGTGCGAGCGCCCTTCATCTCCATTATTTAACCAAGGGCTGACCTGAGAGTTGTTGGCATCAGCACAAACACGCACATAGTGAATGAAGGCATTATTTTCTCTTTTTCTAACGAGGCATATTCTCTGCAGCTTACCCAATCAGACCGCATTCAGAAAACCTGGAAATGAAATAACTAAAGTGTTTTTGGTCTGTCAATGTGTATAAAATGTTTGCAAAATATGGTCTTCAAATGGAAATGGATATCTCTTTGTGTAATGCTGTTATTTTGTGCTATACTCAACTCGCCCTCTTCTCTTTTTCTTCTGTCATTTTAGGTTCAATTACAGATCAACACACCATCTCACCACAAATGGATTCTACGAGTTCCTCAACTGGTTCGATGAAAGGGCTTGGTACCCCCTGGGCAGGATCGTTGGTGGCACCGTGAGTTTCTCCTCAAATAGATGCTTTTAAACATCTTCTCTTTTTGTTTCATTGTTCAGCAACTCAACGCTAACTTTAGAGGAATACATCCTTACTCAGGTTCTTGTGAAGTGAAGGAAAATGCATGATTGAAATAAGATGAGACAGTGAGCGGTGGTTTGCATTCTAAAAACAGTGAGAAAGATGTGCTCCAGCTCTCGGTGTATCACACAGCTCAGCCGCTCCAGGAGGTCTTATTTAAGGGTTCTGGAAAGGACGCTCCAGGCGATTGATGAACCACAGTTTGAGGAATGGCAGCGCGGCTTCCGCCCTGGTCATGGAACCTCTTAAATCTCTTTAATCTTGGAAGAATACTGGTGTCGTCACAGAGCTTGCCCATCAATGTGTGTTTTTTGTATGTGGAGATTCCTTAAAACAGGGTTCGTACGGGTGCTTGAAATCCTTGAAAATGCTTGAAATTTGACGTGGTGTTTTCAAGGTTGGGAAAGTGCTTACATTTTGGCAATGGTGCTTGAAATTGAGATAAAGTGCTTGAAAATGTAAATGCTTTACTTTTACAATAAATTGCTGTCTGACTGAATAGTTCGCTTTTTAGATGAAAAGAAAATAATTGCTTCGCTTCTATGCGCGCGACCTGCAAGTGTTTGTGTTACGTGTGACCTGGGCATTCTGATGAGTGATAGATGACTGTGTGCCAGGAGGTTGCAGTTTCAACGAGCGTTGGCTAGCAGAAGACAAATACAAGCCATGGCTACGACGAGGGTCAAGCCCACGAGTAGCCTCCTGCAAAAGTAACGATGCGAGAGTCTGCGCTGACGAGCCACATGAAAGGTACGCCGTAGTAGATCATTTTAGATTAGGCTAACGTTGCATGTTATGTTTGTTTAAGCTAACGTTAGCGAGCTGAATAGCGAACTCGATTGAGGGATAATAATAATTGCAGGGGACAATCATGTCAGAGGAGCGTACCTATGTTATGTGCGTTACAGTCGCCATCCTGTGGTGTTCAGAGGATGAAGCACTCACGGCATTTCGTGTTATAGTCACGAAATATAATCTATTGATTCGACACAGAGCGACTTTGAAAGCAATGTATTTCTACTGGTAGTATGTTTCGTGCCTAAACCAAATGTGACTTGCTCTCTCGAAATCAGTCACATTGACCCGAAGACACATTTTCGTTTGTATTACTGGTCTGGGGGAAGCTCGCGAGTGTGTTTGTGTATTTTTGCGTTTGTGTACGGGGAAACACTCACAAGAAACACCGGCTGTTGTTATGCTTGCTGTAACGTTACATTAGTCCGTTCTCTGCTTGTAATTATGCCGAAGCTTCAAAGTTGTATTTATCATCTGAATTTGCCGAAACAAATGTAATATTCTGAAAGCCAAGACTTTGTTTATTTGAAAACAGATGAAAACAAACTGTCTTTATATAAAATTGAAGTATTATACAAGTAAAACTACATTTTGCTTTAATCCCATGTAATTGTAGAATGAACACAGTCTTCCTTTGAACATGTATAAGTCAGGTGTCTTGAGTAGCATTACCTACAAATCATTGTACACATTTGTAAATATTATTTTCCACTTGTTACCATTGTGAGTCTATATTTATGCAGCTCTGCGTGATTTTGTGGCTACAATACAGACTAATACGCTACTAGAGGTGGAATAAGTACTCAGATATTGTACTTGAGTAAAAGTACAACTACTCAGATCTTGTAGTGAAATTATAAGTACTCAGATCTTGTACTTGAGTAAAAGTACAAGTACTCAGATCTTGTACTTGAGTAAAAGTACAAGTACTCAGATCTTGTAGTGAAATTATAAGTATTCAGATCTTGTAGTGAAATTATAAGTATTCAGATCTTGTACTTGAGTAAAAGTAGAAGTACTCAGATCTTGTACTTGAGTAAAAGTAGAAGTACTCATATCTTGTACTTGAGTAAAAGTAGAAGTACCAGAGTGTAGGAATACTCTGTTACAGTAAAAATCCTGCATTCAAAATGTTCCTCAAGTAAAAGTGGAAAAGTATTCTCATCAAAATATAGTGAAAGTAGCGACAGTAAAAGTAGTCGTTGTGCAGATTGGTCCATTTCAGAATAATATATATGATATGTTTTATAATGATTGATCATGAAAGTGTTCTCAAAGCTGGTAAAGGTGCAGCTAGTTTGAATGACTTTGTAGACTGCAGGGTAGCTGGTGGATTTACTCCAGGTGGAACTAAAGTCTGATTCAACACTTGATTAGATTTCACATCATTCATCCACATCTGTGAAGTAACTAAAGGTATTAAATACATGTAGTGGAGGAAAAGTACACCATTTACCTCTGACTTATGTTCACTGCCAACCTAAAAATACCTCAACAATAGTAATCAATGATGTATTGAAAAGTTATTTGGCTGATTGTTTTATATTGGCTCAGCCAGGTTATATGGGAGGCCCAGTCTACGTACAGATCACACATTTTGAAATATTAAACTTAGTTTTCCTTTCTTTAATTTTTCATCCTCGTGTAGAATGCTATCACGAAACACACATTTGGTTGTTTATAGCATAAAGAACATCTGATTTAATGTGAGGTAGGGAAATAATCATTTGAGTATGTGTATATAAATATGTAATTTACAACAGCTGTAAGATGCACCTTGAAAATGCTTGAAAAGTGCTTGAATTTGACTTTTAAAAGCATGCCCTGCAGTGTCGTGTATGTGAGGAAGAGATATAGGAGATGCCTGGGCAACTGATGCAAGACTAGCATGCCAGAACCAGAGCTGTGTACGGATCCACAGCAATAAGTCAACAATATTTTCAGAAGATGCCCTTCTCTGCCAAGGTTTTTCCCTAATGATTTTTTATGGTAGAATCTAAAAGCACAGCTGAGGTGTAGAGAGGTTCCACTTGTTTTAGGACTGTGTTCCCACATTTTGCTGATGATGTAGCGTCTTTGGCTTAATCAGACTTTGACCTCTGGTGTGAACTATCTTGCTTTCCATCAGGCTATAAAACGGGAAGAGAGTCAGCAACTCTCAGTCTTAAGCCATGCCACTCTGCTAAATTGCCCCTTTAAGGTTTTGAGCAAGTTGCTGGCTTCGGTGGGGGGGTACATTGATATATTTTTTCATCAGTGAGGGTCAGTGCTTGAATTGGGCTGGTACTCACCGGTACGCAGTACCGGCACTTCTAATTGTTACCCATGTTGTACCGGCACTTCTTACTGAGTACCGGCAAGGTGCCTCGAAATAAGCGATAATGAAAATATTTCCAATAAATGAATAAAATGATTTTTGACCACTTTGTTGTTCAGATATATCAAATATTTGTAACTAAATGATACATTAATTGAAACAAAACACAGTATAGACTGAGGAGTGACTCTTGTGAGTTTCATGTATTTTCTTCACTCCGCTGGGAAACTGCTCTCATGTCAAGAAGCATCAGATCAGTGCATGCGCTGCATCGTCCAATCAGTGAGCGATACACAGTAAGGGGGCGGGGCGAGTATCTGAGGATTTCATCGGAGGATGGTCTGGTGGTTCCTCGGTTCCTCCATTATCGCTCCTCGCTCCTCCGGCAGAAATAAGCGCCATGGGACGCTACTCAAGATGGCGCAGACAAATCAACTTCCGGTGATACCGACGACCGAGGAAATGAAAATAGTCGACCTGAGACGCATCTATGACGCGCCGCAGCGATAGACTAGAGCAGAAAAGACATCACATAACGTTAGCATTTCGAAAATGTTAGCGTGGCTTAATAATAGTGCGAAAAGACAGCGATTGTCGCCGGACAAGGATTCCCTCTCTCCTTTCCTGCTGAAAGATGGTGAGTGTACTCAGGGACGAGGAGTCATTTAACCAGCCGCCAGTAGGAGTCAGGCTTTACTTTCTTTTATATCCATAAAGACAAAGTAAATCTGTTTACAGTTGTTTCATATGGATGTTGAGAGGTATCCATATATCTCTTCATTTTGCTCTCAAAGTGCACCAGATTGATGCATCTAACTTCAATATTTAAAAAAAAAAAAATCTTCCCGGGGGAGCTTGTCCCCACTTATAAAAAATAGTACTTTACCACTGCACCCCCTCTAATCTCAGATGCACCCTGAGTCATTTTGTTTAAGTACAGTGAGCCTTTTCTAACTATATGACTTTGAGCCAAATACTTGTTTTTGGGCTGTATAAATAAATTGACTTGAAACAGTTGCTGATTTAGAGTACTGGCACCTTTTTCATTCCAATTCAAGCACTGGTGAGGGTAATATGGATCCTTAGATCCACTGGCAAATTGGTACCGAATTCCCAATGTTTTGGCTGTTGTACTTTACAAAGATCAGAGCTAAGCCTGAAGGCAAAGCTCTGGATTTACTAGTTGATCTCTGGCCTGTGGTCATGAGCTCTAGGAAGTGACTGGAAGAATGCAAACACATATTCAAACTACTTTAATGACGTGTTCACTTATTCTTTGGAAATCTGATAATGAATGGTCCTGCATACCTCTCTATGGAGAACGTCCAAGACTGTGCACATGGGAAAGGATCCAAAGCAGACCCAGAACATGTTGGAGGGATTACACATCCCACATGGCTGGTTATGCTTTGGGAGATGCTGGCTGGGAAAAGGAAGTCTGGGCTTCTTTGCTAAGCAAGCTGCCATTGTGAATTTGACCTACTTAAGTGGCAAAAGCTGATAGGTTGAGTCTTATTTTAGCCACGGCAGGAACTTTTGGGGGAATTTTCCTAATATTCTGTCTCAATCCCTCCTTATATGAAATGATTATTATAGCACCAAAATGGCCCCAATTCATCAGTAGAGTCACGCATTGAATTATGCAGGGAGGGTGTGGCTCAGTGGTTAGTGTGCTGATCTTCAGATCCCCACTGCACTCAGCATGTTGTTGTGTCCTTGGGCGAGACACTTCACCACAAATTGACCCAGTGGGGATTGCCCACAGTATTGAGTGTATTTAGGTCGCTTTGGATAAAAGCGTCTAACA